ATCAGCTTGGGGTCATATTGTATTGCATGCAGCAACCCTTGTAAAAATAAGACCTACAAGTTATTGTTGTTGTTCTCCTAGACAATTGATATCTAGAAAAGTGCCAAATATATCTCACATACAAATTTTTGGGTGTGCTATGTATGTGCCAATTGTGCCACCCCACCCACAAGAAAAGGACCTTAAAGAAGGTTGGGTCTATATGTCAGATATGAATCACTTTCGATTGCGAAATATCTTAAACCAACAACAGGTGATTTATTTACTACAATGTTTGCAGACTATCATTTTGATGAATATTTAACTGAAAAAAGAGATTTTGTGGAAAATACCACTTGACTTTTTGACCCCCGTACAAAACATAGTGAACTTGAAGTTAAAAAATTGTGCATTTGCAAAAAATTGCAAATCAAATTGTCTGATGCTTTTAATGATGCTGCTAGAGTTACGAAATCATATATTACAGCAACAAATGCACCAACTAAAACAAATATCCCAGAAGGGGAAAGTTCTGAATGCTGATGAACATATTTTCTGCGTAAAACATGGAAAATTGTTGGGTTCCAAGGATAAAAATCCACGAATAAAGAAAATTGTAAATATTGGTGAAAAGATCAACAATGTCATATACTTGAAAAGGTCAATACAACTGCTAAAGAGGTTGATACTAAAAATTCTGATGAAAATGAGGATGAAGTTATTGAAACTTCTGTTAAAATTATATTACCAATGGAAAATATTGGAACCGAAAGAAAAGAAATTTTGATAATGCTTTTGCATATTCTATAGCACTCGATATAATGAAATATGACAAGGATTGTTTACCGAAATTAGTTGATGAATATTGGCAAAGAGATGACTCGGAAAAATGGAAAGATGCAATTCGGTTTGAATTTGAATCATTGAATAAACGACAAGTATTTGGCCCTATAGTCCAAATACTTCAGAATATAAAACTTGTTGGCTACAGAAGAAATGGAAATAATGATATAACAAGATATAAAGCAAGGGTTGTAGCCCAGGGATTTTCCCAGAGACTAGGCATTGATTTTGAAAAATTATATTCACCGGTCATGGATAGAATAACATTCAGGTATTTGGTGAGTTTAGAAGCATACGAAAATCTGATATGTGATTAATGAATGCAGTTACTGCCTATCTTTATGGTTTTTTAGACAATGATGTCTACATGAAAATCCGAGAAGGATTTAACATGCCTGAAATCAAAGTAAAAAAGATCACATTCTATCAAATTGTAAAAATCTCTGTATGGGCTTAAACAATCAAAGGCCGAATATGCCTCAGCGAAAGCCTAACAAAAGAAAGTTACATAAATGATCCTATCTGTCCATGCGTTTTCATTAAAAAAAAATGGGTAAGGATTTGTAATCATCGTTGTACATATCGATGATTTTAGTTTAATTGGAACTTCTGATAAAATTAACAAAGTTGTTGAATATCTGAGAAATGAGTGTAGATAAAATATTTTGCAGAAACCAAATTTCTGCTTGGTTTTCAAATTTAGCATTTGGAAGGTGACTTTTATCCACCAATCAAATTATACCAAAAGGGTACTGAAATAACTCCTGATGGATAAATCACATCCGCTAAGTACCTAAATGATCATCAGAGCACTCAATCCAATAAAGGATCCATTTAGACCAAATAGAAAAATGAAAAACTATTTGGTCCTGAAGTGTCATGTTTGAGTGCTATAGACAGATTGATGTATCTTGTCAACAACACCCAACTTGACATATCGTTTGATGTAAATTTATTGGCAAGATTCAGCTTATCGCCTACTCGATGACATTCGAATGGGATCAAACTCATTTTTTGCTATCTCCAAGGGACAATTGATCTACGATTATTTTACTCGAAAGATTCTCGACATGAATTAATTGGTTTTGCCGATGTAGAATATTTATTTGATCCTCATAAAGGAAGTCTCAAACTGGTTATATATTTACTTGTGACGAGACTGTGATCCCTTGGAGATCAATTAAACAAACTTTAACGGTCATTTCTTCAAATCATGTTGAAATATTGGCAATATATGAAGTTAGTCCAAAATGTGTTTGGTTGAGGTCAATGACTCAACATATTTTGAAAAATTGCGGGTTAATACCTGGCGATAAAATTCTCCCAACTAGATTGTATGAAGATAATACAACTTGTATATAGCCCAATTGAATGAGGATTACATTGAAGGAGATAGAACGAAACATATTTTACAAAAAAAAAGTCACTTATGATCTACAACAAAATAATGAAATCAATATGCAAAAAATTCGATCAGATAATAATTTTGCAGATAAATTAACCAAGGCATTACTGACTGCAACATTTGAAAAATTGGTAAAGAATATTAAAATGCGTTGGTTCAGGAATCTCAAATATCGTTCAGAATAAGGGGAGCAAATAAACAGAAGAATGTTGTACTCTTTTTCTTTCACTAGGATTTTTTTCCATAAGGTTTTTTTTCCTAATAAGGTTTTAACGAAACACATTCTTATATAAAAACATCCAAGGGAGAGTGTTATACACATTACATACACGAAGGTACAACGTAGTCATTTGTATGCTTTTGTTTTTCTTCGTATTGAAGTTTTCTTGTGTATAAATATAGGCTTGAATGAAATGAAATAAACACACTTCATCCATTTCCTGCATTAATCAATCTCTCTCTACTCTCTACCGTTTTATTTTTCTAGTAGATGTATTATGCACATTCCCCATAAATATAGAGAATTATTTTGATACAATTCCCCATAAATATTATTAAAAATATAATATATATATATTAATATAATATATATTATATATATAATTTATCCACTTAATTTTTTTTAACATAAATATTATTTTTTAAGTTATCAACACAATTCTCTATATCTAACTTACCAAACAATATATTATATATCTTTTTTTAATATTATATATATTTATATTTAAATTATATTAGGTTGATTTTATATAAAAAAAATATTTTATTTAAACTTAGTACTACAAATACATATATTTATTTATAATGCATTAATTTTTTTTATATTTAATTATATTACTAATGATATTTTAAATAAATTAATAGTTTTCAAACTATTTGATTGGTGTATTAGTTATTTAATTTTATATTTTTAATTTAAAATAATTTTTATATTAACTATGAGAAAGATTGTCGGAAATATATAATTAATATTTTATATTATATTTTTATATTTTTAGTATAAAGATTATATATTTATATATTTTGTATGAATATATATAGTTTATTTTTTAAAATTGATAAAAAAATTATATATTTTTTTATTAGAACATACCTGTTACGTATGAAATTTAGAATTAAGTTAAAAAGCCCAAGGTAAAAGAAAAAATGGGCCTGGTAATAGAGTTGATCGAACTGGCTGAAGGGCACCGTGGGGAACTCAAGGAAAATAGGTTAATTTCTAAGGAGAATGCAGGACAGAAAGTCTTCAGGTCGGAAAGTCCTCAGGTCAGAAAGTCTTCAGGTCGGAAAGTCCTCAGGTCGGAAAGTCTTCAGGTCGGAAAGTCCTCAGGTCGGAAAGTCTTCAGGTCGGAAAGTCTTCAGGTCGGGAGGTCCGCAGGTCGGAAGGTCCTCAGGTCGGGAGGTCCTCAGGTCGGGAAGTCCTCAGGACGGAAAGTCCGCAGGTCGGAAGGTCCTTAGGTCGGGAGGTCCGCAGGTCAGAAGGTCCTCAGGTCGGGAGGTCCTCAGGTCGGGAGGTCCTCAAGACGGAAAGTCGTCAGGACGGAAAGTCCTCAGGTCGGGAGGTCTGCGACTGGACCAGTAAGTCGGATGGTCTTTAAGTCGGGAGGTCTGCGACTAGACCAGTAAGTCGGATGGTGTTTAGGTCGGGAGGTCTGCGACTGGACCAGTAAGTTGGATGGTCTTTAAGTCGGGAGGTCTGTGACAAGACTAGTAAGTCGGATGGTCTTTAGGTCGGGAGGTCTGTGACTTGACCAATAAGTCGGATGGTCTTTAGGTCGGGAGGTCTGCGACTGGATCAACAAGTCGGGTGGCCCGCAAGTCGGGAAGATTGGTAGTCGGGCCAATAAGGTGGAAGAGTAGTGTTCGGACCAAAAGGGCAGAAGGTCTGCGGTCGGTCCAAAGAGGCGGATGCTGTTAAGAGAGGAATAGAGTGATAATGGTGGTCTGCTGAGGACACGTGTCAGCAAGAGAAGGATTGGCAGACGGTTGAAAATGAGACATTGTAACCGTTCAGGCGACGGTTTCCAGTACAATTTCTCAGGAAGTATTTAAGGATTTGGATTTTTCTTGAGAAGCCATGTTCAATCAACTTCAACAAAGCAAAGTCAGATTTGGGGATCACCACTTTAAATTTCCAGCATTTTATTTTCCAGTTAATTTTCTTATGTACCGTACAGTGTTTAGAGATTCCTAATATCATACGCTAATTAATCAAGTTTCGAGATATTTTCCATATCTTTGAATTTTACTTTTTGTTTGTTGAAAAAATACATCAACAAATTGGCGACCACAGTGGGAGAAAGGCAAGATTGCTGATCCTACATTACCAGAGAACTTCATACGACTGAGGTCCGGCCGAATCATCCAAAAAATTAATATGGCAGGCACACAACCTCAATCATTATCAGCACCAGTGGGGGAAAATGTTTCACCACCAGTCATGCCAAATCCAGGGGAGATGCCTCAACCACCTACCGATTGGTTGTCGTATATTCAACAATTGAACAGCCAGCATAATGCGGCAATGCAGAACATGTTGCGTGAGCAACAGAATTTGATGCAGAACATGTTAGATCAAGCATTGTCAAGGGCTACTCTTCAACCCACCCAGACGCCGCCAGGGGTGTCACCATCCACAATACAAGCGAATTTTGCAGGGCCATCATATGTGGACAACACACTTCCAAGCGCCACAAACTTCAACCGAACAGATAGGGGAAAAACTCCTCTGACTTTCCCAAATAATATACCTTTGGGGCCAAGGGTTGAAAATATGCAACCAAACATTACAAGAGAGGAAAGGCCAGGGGAACATTTGCAGGATCCTATTCTTATTCCTGTGCAAAATCCCATTGATGTCCCTGATCATCAACAGTTTCGTTTGGGTGATGAAATTGCTCACGTATTGAGGGTTCAGTTTGATTTAAATCCTCAGATAGCCAACCGACCTGCTTATCAGAGACCGTTCCCAGAAAGGATTATTAATGAATATCCTCTTCCAAGGAATTATAGGCCACCAGATTTTCATGCTTTTTCTGGAGAGGATGGGTCCTGCACTATAGAGCATATGGGGCGTTTTACAGCACAGTTAGGGGAAATTGGTAACAATCCTTTTTACAAGTTACAACTGTTCGGATTGTCCTTAACTAGGATAGCTTTTTCATGGTTTGTAAGTCTGCCACCTGGGCTAATACAAACTTGGGAAGGTTTAGAAATGGCGTTTCATGCCAGATTTTTCAATCCCCTGCCAACGGTTTCTCTGACTGATTTTTTGGAAATGAAACAATATCCGGAGGAATCAGCGTCACAATTTATTGAGAGGGTGAGATTAATGAAGGGACGATGTCCTACTATAATCAACGAGAAAGATATGACCAACTTAGTGGTCCAAAACATGCATGGTCGTTTAAGAGATGCACTCACTGCACATGATGTCGAGGATTTGGCAAGCCTCGCTTCCAAGGCTGGACGTTTAGAATCTCTGTTCAGAGAAAGGGATCAGAATTTCAGGCGTAATAAAGGTCAACATATGGCTAGTATGGAAACAGAGGCATACGACTTTTATTATGATCAAACAGAAGAGATGGCGGCCGAAATAATTTTAAGGAAACCTTATGTATGCTCTAAGTTAAAGCCTGCACCAGGAACGGAAGCTAAAGGGCAACCGACCTTTGACAGTTCAAAGGCCGATGAGATATTTGATATCCTGTTGACTGATGGTCAAATCCGAATTCCAAAGGGATAGAGGTTGGCCACCAAGGAAGAAATTAAAGGGAGGCCATATTGTAAGTGGCACAATTCCTTCACACATAGTACAAGTCCGTGCACCTATTTTCGAAATAAGATCCATAAAGCTATTAAGGCAGGACGGCTCAGGTATATCACTTTGGGAGTGGAGCAGCAACCATTTCCAAAAGTAACCACAACGATGGTTAATATACAAGCAATTTCCAGAAAGGAAAAAGGGAACACATCAAACAGTGTCCGACCAGAGGAGAAACTCAAGGTTTGTAAAAAAACAGTGGCTGAAAAATGGGACAACCAAGATGGTTCTTTTAATGTGGAATTAAAGGACCAGGTTGTAGTCCGGGACCACCCGACCAGGAAGACGGGTACGGTCGGAAGCAAATGGACTCGAAATAAGAAACCTTTACCAATTGATGTGGATCCTCGCTTCCCAGGCATGAATCATACTCAGATTCGGAATGCAAGCGTAGGTATGCTGCGAGATACATAGATAAGTTAGGAAAGGGGATTCATGATCTATCTCCTGTGGATTTTGAGATGACTAGCTTTATAGAGCAGCCGACCAGACCAGAAGGCATGTTAGTCGCTTCCATTGAAGTCGGTCCAAAGAAGATTTCTTCTGTGTTCTTCATGGTGGATGCAGACACCACATATTCAATCCTGCTTGGACGAGATTGGATACATGCATCTAAATGTGTGCCATCAACACTGCATCAACAATTGATGTTCTGGGAAGGCAATCAGGTTTTAAAAATGGAGGCAAATGACAATCCTTTTGGAGCATCAGAACAAGTAGAAGAATCAGTTTTCTATTCTCGTCACGTACCTTCAGTGTATCAAATTTTTATGGCTAATGATTACCCAAAGAAGGGTTTAAAGTCATTGGCCAGAATTCAATGTTCTTTTAAAGAACAATTGTACTATATGGCTCTTTAGTAAGCCAGACCTACTTTATATAATACGTTTCTTATGGAAGAAGTAGAATTGCAAGATTGTAGTTTGCTTATTAATAAGTATTATTTAGATCAGCTTTTGAAAAAAGTAGAAAAAATGGAAAAATGTGATGTTCATTTCCAAGAAGATGAACAATTCCCTTAGCCTGATCTGTTAGAAAAACAGAGCCAACTTTTTCAGCACAAGACCCTTTGCTGGAATTTAATTTAGGAACCGACTTGGTTCCGAGAGTAATCAGGTTGAGTGGTTACTTGTCTAAAGAGCAACAGACATTGATGCTCGAAGTTATAAAAAACAATATTGATTGTTTAGCCTGGGATTATTCAAAAATGCCAAGTCTGGAGCGAAGTCTGATAGAACATCGATTGCCCATCAAGAAGGATTTCAAACCATGTAAACAATCTTCAAGACGTATAAGTCCTGATTTGATGCCTCAAATTAAAGAAGAGATTCAGAAGCTTCTTAAAGTAGGTTTCATCCGACCTTGCCGTTATGCAGATTGGTTGGCCAATATTGTACCAGTGGTTAAGAAAAATGGTAAGATCGGGATATGCATCGATTTTAGAGATCTTAATATGGCCACCCCTAAAGATGAGTATGTGATGCCTATGGCCGACATGCTAATTGATTCGGCAGCAGGGCACAGAATTCTCTGTTTAATGGATGGTTATGCAGGATATAACCAAATCTTTTTGGCAGAGGAAGACATCCACAAGACAACATTTAGATGTCCAGGGGCATTAGGCATTTATGAGTGGACAATTATGCCTTTTGGTTTGAAGAATGCTGGGGCGACCTACCAGAGAGCCATGAACTCAATTTTTCATGATCTCATTGGTAAGTCTATGGAAGTCTACATCGATGATGTTATTGTCAAGTCTTCCAGTTTTGAGGAGCATTTGAGGGATCTCAAGGATGCTTTCAGTCAGATGAAGAAATACAAATTGAAGATGAACCCGACTAAGTGTGCTTTCGGCATATCAGCTGGGAGTTTCTTGGGGTTCTTAGTTCATGAGAGGGGCATCGAGATTGATGCTAACAAAGCCAATGTAATTCTTACCAGCCGACCACCTCAGACGGTTAAAGAGATTCAAAGTTTGTTGGGAAAACTAAATTATCTCAGACGGTTCATTTCCAATGCTGCTGGCAAGATCAGACCAATCACTAAATTATTGAAGGCAGAAGGAAGCGCCTTTGAGTGGGGACCAGACCAACAGACAGCTTTGGAGGCTATAAAGCAGGCATTAACTCAACCTCCTGTGTTGATGCCTCCCAAGGAAGATCGGCCCCTCAAACTTTATTTGGCGAATACCTATGAAGTGGTCAGTTGCTTATTAGCTCAAGATGGAGACGATGGAAAGGAAAGGGCAATTTATTATTTGAGCAAGACTCTCACAGGACCAGAATTGAATTATACAATGCCAGAGAAGATGTGTTATTCATTGGTGTTTGCATGCACCAAGCTTGAACATTATATGCTGCCTAGAAGAGTTGAGGTTATTTCAAAGATTGATCTCATCAAGTTAATTTTGCAAAAGCCTACGATGCAAGGCAGACTCATGAAGTGGGCCATTAAATTAGCTCCCTTCGATTTGTATCATTCTCCCTTGAGGGCGGTCAAAGGCCAAACAGTGGCAGATTTCTTGGCAGACTTCACAAGCTGTGAAGAAAAACCGACCGGGTGTATATCTTATGTAAGCACCCGAAATTGGTTAATGTTTTTTGATGGTTCTACCCCAGGAAACAGATCTGGTGCAGGCGTCCTGTTGGAAGGACCAGACGGTCAAAGGGTCAATTTTCAGCTTCAATTGGAAGATATGACTCATAATTCAGCAGAATATGAAGCTTTGATCTTGGGATTGGAAGCATTAATAGCTAGAAAAGTTCAGTCGGTTATTATAAAAGAGGACTCTCAATTGGTCATTAACCAGGTAAACAAAAAATATGTTTGCAATTATCCCCACCTTCGGAGGTACAGAGATTTGGTAGGTCGGTTGCTATCAAAGATCTCCGAAGTGATAATCAAGTTCGTCCCTAGAGAAGAGAATCAATTTGCAGATGAATTAGCTCAAAAAGCTTGCAAGGGAATTCTAAAACACATATGTGCAGAGGTCGGCCCTGAGGCAGAAACAGGAACCGACTGGAAGGCAGAAACAGGAGCCGACTGGAGAAAAGAATTTATCATGTATTTGCAAGATCCTGGAGCGAATGTACCAATTGGAATTCGGTTGAAAGCTTTGCGATTCCAATTGGTAGAAGGAGTGTTATATAAAAGGACATTCGAAGGATTGCTTTTGAAGTGTTTGGGTCCCGAGCAGGCTTTGGAGGTGATGACAGAGTTACACAGTGGAATGTGTGGGGCTCATCGAGCAGGTCTGAACATGAGATGGGCCATACATAGGTTAGGTTTCTTTTGGCCAAAGATTTATGAGGACTGCATACAATTTGCCAAGGGTTGCCAAGAATGTCAGAGGCATGGGCAACTAATTCATTTGCCAGTAACAGAATTGCAAGCGATGGTAAAACCATGGCCTTTTAAATCTTGGGCTATGGATATCATTGGTAAAATTCATTCTCCATCATCCAAGAATCATTGTTTTATTTTAGTTGCAACAGACTATTTCACCAAGTGGGTGGAGGCGATTGCTTTAAAGAATGTGGATCAGAAGGAGATGATTGATTTTGTGTTGAATCAGATCATATATAGGTATGGAATTCCTCATTCGTTAACAACCGACCAAGGATTGGTCTTTACTGGGGAGAAGTTTTTAAGCTTCTTGGCAGAGTTTGGCATTCGTCTAAGTCATTCTTCGCCTTATTATCCCCAAGCTAATGGGCAAGCAGAAGCGGCTAACAAGATTATCGTTGGGATCATCAAGAAAATGATTGAAGGGAATCCAAGGAAATGGCATTTGTTGTTATCTCGAGCCCTATGGGCACATAGGAACAACAGAAGTTCTACCACATGATTTTCACCATATCAACTCACTTTTGCACAAGATGCTGTGTTGCCAGCCGAAGTGCAGGTCTCATCTGGACGCACAAGTCTTACCAATGATAAGTTTACTGAAGAATATCAACAAATGATGTTGCAACAATTGGAGAGTCTGGATGTCACCCGACTTCATGCAATTGATCAGATTGTGAAGCAAAATGAGATCAGGGTATGGAAAGAAAGTTTTTTACAGAACATTCAAAGAAAGAGACCTGGTCTGGAAGACTATTCTTCCAACTTATAAAAAGGTTGACCAATTAGGAAAGTGGTCTCCAAATTGGGAGGGACTATTTATAATCCAAAAGAAAATTGGAAATGGTGCCTTTATTATCATAAATCAAGAAGGTAAAAGGGTACATGACTGTATTAATGCTAGATATCTGAAGAGGTATTTTCCTGTCTTTTCAGATTACAAGAAAGCATGAAACAGTAAGTTTTCAGAACCCATTTGCTAAGGGTTCGAACCTAACAATGGTTCATTCATTGTCAGATGTTGATTCGTGCAGAAGATTATCTTCTTCTGAGTCAGAAGCTTCATTCCAACGGTTATGGATTAGTTCTGGCTCTTCATCAATAAGGTCTTCTAAGCTGGGCCGGTACTTTTCCCACTGATCTTGCATTTTCTCAAGATCATAGTCGGTCCGAGCTTTCATGTCTGTCAGGGCTTGGCGTTCACGATCAACAAGAGTACGTAATCTTGAAAAGACTGCATGTTGGTTGGAGAAGGTTTGACCCCAAACAAGGTCTGGAAGTATGGCGGTCACATGGTGTTCAATCAAATCCATGTGATGATCAATGTCGGGAAGACGACTTTGAATATCCCGAAGGGTCTCATATCCCTCTACCACGTTTTCCATCAGGTGAATGACACAGTGGATGGTCTTTCGGCCTCATTTGGAAAACCTGAATTTGTAATCCAATTGTTGGAGGATGTATAGTAGGTCTTCAGCGTGACCTCCAACTGGATGATTACCCATGAAGAAGGGTTGAATGACGCCTTTCCAATTGTTTCCAGGAACATAGGGATAGTGAGATGGCATTTTAGTGCTTGTGAACAAGCGTGTTCAAAGTTGAGTTGTTTGATGATTTACGAAAGCTGCTAATATTTATTGAGGAGGCTGATTGATTGGTTCCCTGGAGGGTTGGAGTCTTGAGAGATGATCCTTAATAAAATGAGAGAAATTTTATTTACCAAGTCAAAATTTACAAAAGGGACTCTAAAACAAGTTTTATTTGGGACCACTTATCCTCTGTCCTGGAAAGTCGCCTGTTATTAGCGGCCGACTAGTACAGTTTTATGAGTTGGGATCGGGTGTGAATCTTTAACTCCTGATCCAGGTCGGCTACATTGCTTTGGTACCGATCAATCAGGCGTTGCTCATTGTTGATATGTGCTTCCAGGACAGACCTTTCGTGGTGGAGCATCTTCAGCTCTGCTTCTTTTTGCTGGATTGACCCCTCAATTTGTACCTTGGAACTATTCAGGCCTTCTAGTCGGCCAACTGCTTGTTGAATGGATTCCTTGGTTTTGGACAAGAAAGCCTCCAGACTGGTTCGATCCAGGTCGGGCAAAGGTGTCTCAGCTTTCAAAAGATGGGCGAACAGAGTTTCATTCTGGAGTTCGGATAGTTGCTCCATCAATTGGTGAAGGATGGGGGCAGCAGTCGACTCTGAAGATATGCAGCGCAAGAGACCACCAATGGCTTGAAGAAGGCTGTCAAGCAAGTCTGACCCCAGGTCGAGGAAAGATTGGCCAACAGCCTGTGTAATTATAGTTCGGACGTCCGTCGAAATGGAAACCGCCGACAAGAGGGCTAGATCAGGACATCCTTGAAGTAAAAGATGTTTATCTTAGGTTGAATGGAGAAATAAATGTTAAGAATTAATTGTGCAAGGTTGCACGTACCTCTAGACGGATGGTGGTCGCTGAAGGTGCCAAAATAACCCTAAGTCTGGAGGGTTGGGCGACTGATATTTCGATAGCTGATTCGTCGGCTGCTTCGAGTGGATGTTGAGGTACGGATCTAGGTCCCTGAATGGTGGAATATAGTGTGTCAAAGGTCATGCTAACTTGTATTTTTGGTACTTTGGAGGAAGAAATTTCAAGTGTTTACCAGGTTGATAGAGGTCTCTAAGTCAGATGAGGGAATTTCTGGAAATTCCTGTAAGAGACCTCTTGGTGGTATTGGTGCAGGTTCATTTTTTCGCCTATCTGCTTCTGGAAGAGGGTCTGCTGCCCCTGGGTCGGCAACCTCCAAGTCGGCCGCCCTTGGGTCGGAAACCTCCAAGTCGGCCGCCCTTGGGTCGGCAACCTCCAAGTCGGCCACTATTGGGTCGGCAACCTCCAGGTCTGCTACCCTGGGTCGGCAACCTCCAAGTCGGCCGCTGCTGGGTCGGCAACCTCCAAGTCAGTCGCTCGTTGGTTTGATGTGTCTGGGACGGTTGCATCAGAGGCAGCAGAAGCAACATGAGGTAACCTGTCCATATCTGAAGCAGTTGTCTCACTGGGAGATGAAATCCTTGTTGTTACATGTTCGGTGGATGGAGGTATTTTATTCGAAGCCCGGCGCTTGGTCGGGGGTTCTGGTTCTGGTAGTGGGCTAGTCGGTAGCTTTGTTGTTTTAGTGGGTCTGGAAGTAGGTTGGGCGGTCGCTCGAGCTGAAGCCACACCTGAGTATGAATTAAGGATTAATACTTTGTTAAGACAAGAATCAAATTACATTAAGAGTATACCTGAACGGGTCGGGTCCTTATAAGGAGCCGACCTGATGGACGCTTTGTTGGGGATGGTTGATTGTTCCCAGAAGGGAGAATAGATTGAGTCTGAAGGGCTTTTCTCTTCCTCTGTGGAGTACCCGACTCATCGCCCTGAGTAATCAGGTTCCTTTGGGTGTTAGTCAGAGGGGTTGTCGCTAACTTAATTGGAGGTGGGGGAAGAAGTATGCCCAGTAAACGATCCTTGTCATGGGCAATCAAGGCCCAAGTAACCGACCACCACTCCCGAAAAGACTCAACATAAGTTGGAGAAGATTTGTAAGGAATGTAAGAATTAGAGGTGATGTAATTTGTAAGTTGTGATATGTATGGGGCAATTGCATCAAGAATAGGTCTCCCATCCGGACTTTGAATTATTAGATGGGGATGAGCAATGGGACCAGGCAGGCCTTGTTGGCATCCGAATTGGCGTGCCACAAATTGAGGTTGGTAATTGAAGGTATAAAATATTTTGGGACCTTGTCTGTTGATTTTTTTGCTGGTAAATAAAGACTTGGGTTTAAGGGCAACATCCCAGGAGAACGGGTAATTCGGATATGAAAGTGGATTTGGTTGAGACAAAGGCGAAGGAACAGGGAATGGCCAAAACAGACCGGACGCATAGCCAATATACTTTTTGTGTATGTAAAAATGGTTGTCATTTCGATTATCAGTAAGAATGGCTGTTATGATTGGATCAGAAGCCTGGAGGTTATTACGGCCTAAGCAAAGTCGGTTAAGGGCTACTCCTAGGGATTTCTCAAGTGTGGGAGCAACAAGAGGATGACCAAGTTGGAAGGCGTCGGGAAAATAGAGACGGAACCATAGTTCCAGGAACAAAAAAGGACCCGACACAACAGTGTCTAACTTCTTACCATCTTTATCAGTAAGGCGGACACTGACCCTGGATAACCCTTCAAAGAGATTGGCAAGGAAAAGGGTGCCTAATGAGAGGAACCGACCCAAGGTTATGTGTATAGCAAGATCAAGATGAGAAGGGAGGACACATTTCGAAGGAGAGACTACAACATACTTACAGAGCCAAAAGAGGAGAAAAGTAGTGTGCTCTCGGTCAGTTACAGGGGTCCCGTTGGCTCCTTGTTGGTCAATTAGAAATTTGGTCCAGCCCCATTCTTTCACATCTATCAGAGACCAGCCCGCGTGGTCTGATTTGGGTTCTTGCCCATCTAGGGCACCCATTACAGGATCTTCCCCAACGATTGGCAGATGAGCGATCATGGCTACATCCATGAGGGTGGGGCCAATAGGGGCTGTTGGAAGAAGGAAGGTGCAAACCTCAGGATGCCAGAACACCGCCATGGCCAGAAGAACTTTCTCATGTAAATGACATGGAAGAGTTGACAGAAATATGGCCTGATCGATTTGCTGAATTTTCCATTGCTCTTGGTAATGTTCTGCCACTATCTGGTACCAGGTGCGGTAGAGGTCCTTGGGATCTGTCAAGTGTGTTTTAATGTTGTCATGAAGATGGGTTGCATTGTAGTTGGGATTGTTGATCGCCAGCAGATTCTTTGCCTCCAAAACTTCTCTCATACGGTTGGAGTCTTCAACAGTTGTGCAATATGGACGAACAGTTGGGGTGTGCATTTTCGTCGCCACAAGAGTGGTTTCAGGGATTGATCCATCGACGGGGAGTGCAGGGATGTATCGATTCGCCATGTCTAGGGTTGTAGAGATTATGATTCACAAAAGCTCGTATCGAAGAAAGGGAAGTTAATCAGGAGTGCTGTAACTGGTGCAGTTGCTAAGGGACTTTCTCAGGAGGGTTGTGATTTATGAACTTCCAAACGACGATTGATAAATGGCGTTTGAAAGTCCCTTGGCGGCGGGCAAGTTGTTACGTATGAAATTTAGAATTAGATTAAAAAGCCCAAGGTAAAAGAAAAAATGGGCCTGGTAATAGAGTTGATCGAACTGGCTGAAGGGCACCATGGAGAACTCGAGCAAAATAGGTTAATTTCTAAGGAGAATCTAGGATGGAAAGTCTTCAGGTCGGAAAGTCCTCAGGTTGGAAAGTCTTCAGGTCGGAAAGTCCTCAGGTCGGAAAGTCTTCAGGTCGGAAAGTCCTCAGGTCGGGAAGTCTTCAAGTCGGGAGGTCTGCAGGTCGGAAGGTCCTCTGGTCGGGAGGTCCTCAGGACGGAAAGTCCGTAGGTCGGAAGGTCCTCAGGTCGGGAGGTCCGCAGGTCAGAAGGTCCTCAGGTCGGGAGGTCCTCAAGACGGAAAGTCGTCAGGACGGAAAGTCCTCGGGTCGGAAGGCCTGCAACTGGACCAGTAAGTCTGATGGTCTTTAGGTCGGGAGGTCTGCGACTAGACCAGTAAGTCGGATGGTGTTTAGGTCGGGAGGTCTGCGACTGGACCAGTAAGTCGGATAGTCTTTAAGTCGGGAGGTCTGCGACTAGTCCAGTAAGTCGGATGGTCTTTAGGTCGGGAGGTCTGCGACTTGACCAATAAGTCGGATAGTCTTTAGGTCGGGAGGTCTGCGACTGGATCAACAAGTCGGGTGGCCCGCAAGTCGGGAAGATTGGTAGTCGGACCAATAAGGTGGAAGAGTAGTGTTCGGACCAAAAGGACGGAAGGTCTGCGGTCGGTCCAAAGAGGCAGATGCTGTTAAGAGTGGAATAGAGTGATAGTGGTGGTCTGCTGAGGACACGTGTCAGCAGGAGAAGGGTTGGCAGACGGTTGAAAATGAGACGTTGTAACCGTTCAGGCGACGGTTTCCAGTACAATTTCTCAGGAAGTATTTAAGGATTTGGATTTTTCTTGAGAAGGCATCTTCAATCAACTTCAACAAAGCAAAGTCAGATTTGGGGATCACCACTTTAAATTTCCAGCATTTTATTTTCCAGTTAATTTTCTTATGTACCGTACAGTGTTTAAAGATTCCTAATCTTAGGCACTAATTAATCAAGTTTAAAGATATTTTCCATATCTTTGAATTTTACTTTTTGTTTGTTGCAAAATTGCATCAACAATACCCAAATTCGTAAAAATAATTAAATAAAATTTACAAAAAAAAAAAGAGATTGATGTACGAGTTTAATTTATCATAACAAATAAAATTTGTAGAAGGACAATTAGGTCATTTAAAATATAAAAAAAAAAATCAAATTTTTTGATTAATTTGCAAAATAAATTGAATTAAAAAAATATAAATCCCGATAATTTACATTGTAATTTATTTATTTTTCTATCCCATCCACTATTCTTATGTTTTACTTCATTATAGTAATGTATATTTATAAAAAAATACTAGTATTTTAGATGAAATATTTGATTTTTAAAAAATTTGAAATCTAGTTGTTATTCTACATTTTAAGCACAACTGGATGAACCAGAAACAGACTCAAAGCTCCACAAAATCGGCCTAAATGAGAAGCAGCCCAGTCCGGATGAAAGCCCAATGAACAAAACCAGCCTTGAAGAGTACGGTTGGATGAGGGGTGAGAACAGTAGAATGAGTGTTCCTAGATTTAAGTGGGCAAACTTGGGAAGAAAATAATGTGGATTTAAAAGAAGCATAATAAAGAAAGTGAGTAAAACAGTTCCTAAAATCAAAGGATAAGGACAAGACATACAATATAAAAGAAGGGCAAGGAGGAGAGGAAAAGAACGTCCTATACCATCCACTTCAAAATTTATTTCTTGTTTTCATTCTTTTTTTTCATATATTTTATTGCATTCTTGCCTTCTTTTCCTCTACACATTTATTTATCTTCCATTTCTTGTTCTTATTTTCTTGTTGAATTTTTTTTTTTTTCCAGTTTAATTCAATTTCTTATTTGAGTGCACAATTGTTCCTCCTAATTTTAGCAAATTAATTATATCATATTTACTGTGAGACTTAGCCCGGATAATTTTTTGAGTAAGTCAGGGAACTCGATTATTATCGATTTCGACAGGCCTAGATTTATTAGGCCGTCATAGAAGAATTTCAGCGACAACAGATTGGCATACCCAGTGGGACTCCGACAAGTCTCACACTTTTTATGCATTTAAGGAGTCGCAATTACCATCGCCGAAGAAAGTTACAATCGCCGGTGAAACTTCAGCCCCATGCATCTCCGGAAAGTTCTCTGCAGCTCCGGGAGTTGTGGACAGGAAGATTACGGTCCCTACAAATGTTTTGGAAGATCAGATTCTTGCGAAAATCCGATATGCCTTCAGTGACTCAACATTGACGTTCTCTCGGTATTTTGCAGACATTTTTAATCCCACCATCCGAAACAAAATTATGTGGGCAAGAGAGGAGAAGTTGCGCAAGGGCAAAGCACCAGTGACCAGCTCCGGAGATGATGAAAATGCTCATCCGGTGAAGGCAACACAAGGGGACGTGTCCGGACATCCTCCAACGACGCTCCAGTATGGTGACGCAACCATACTGAGCAAAAAAACAAAAACAATGGCCGTCCTCGGGGCAGACTATCGTAAGGCCGCTGCCACATTAGGGACATCTGGGGAGCAGCGGGTGCGCACCACCGGAGTCTCAATGGAAAAACAATTCTTTGTTCAGTGGCATGAGCGTGCCCACATCACCCGCGGGGTCGAATGGTCAAGGAAATGCCTTTGCCGGAGAACGAACTACTGACTCTTTAGGGGCATGGCCAACCACAGCCCCAACACTTCCGGCTCCGGGGATGACTTGGGGGGCATCTGCCCCATATTTGAACCTGACTTGGGGGGCATCCGCCCTACATTCGAACTTACCTTGGGGGGCAGCTTCTGCACCTCCAAGTCTGTAGGGGTCAGCTTCGTCGGCTGTAGCAGTGGCTTGGGGCTCAGATACACCAGCTCCGCCCATGCCGCCTCCACCTGGGGGGCAGGAAACATACCAAGAAGCTTCCCCAACGGGACCAACCATACAGCAGGGGTACGGATCTTCACAATAGCTGTCTCATCCGGGGGGCAGTGGGTACACACCACCAGCGTTCCAATGGCACAACAATCCTTTGTTCGGTTGCATAAACATACCGACATCACCCGCGGAGGTGAACGGTCAAGGAAACACCTCTGCCGAAGGAGGAGCTACCGATCCTTGGGGGGCATGGCCGACAACGGCTTCAACACCTTCGGTCGTTCCTCCGACTTCTGAAATCACTTGGGGGGCAACCGCACCACCTCCAAGTGTACCCTGGGGGGCAGTCCCGCCTCCTCTGGGACCTTGGGGACCAGCCTTTTCGGCCGACGCAATGGCGTGGAGATCAAACGTACCAACTCCATTGGCATCGCCTCCACATGGGGGGCAAGGAGCATACCAGAGGAGGAATTTTTCTGAGGCGTCCAAGCAGCTACAAGATTATGGATCTCCAAATCAGGGGGTTACAATACCATTCGGGAACTTTCCGACTTCGGCGGCACCACTGATGATTTGGGGGGCAGCTCCGACATTTCTAGGAGCACCACTAGCTCCGTGGATGACTCGAGAGGCACCTCTGGCAACACAGCCAGCACCAACGGCGCCAAAAACAACCTGGGAGGTATGTCCGGTAGCACTTCTAGTTCTAGACACTGCCCAGAGGACAGTCCTGCCACCTATGACAACACTTCCAGCTCCATACGCTGTTGGACATCCCTGCCACCTTCGGAGGTGCATCCAACTCTGGAAATTAATCGGAAAGTAGACCCGATAACGACGCGTCCGAGGGCGATAAGGGATGTAGATCCGCCACCCCCGCTACTTTTGGAAGCATCATCAGCGCCAGGAGGGACCTGAAAAGACCCGCCGGCTCCAAAATGGTCAGCTCCATCAAATTTGGACATAACAGCCTCAGGTTTGGGTAGACAAGCACCAGCCCCCTTGCAGCCCGGAGGATGCTCATAAATACCCTTACCACCATGGCCGATTATCGATCCGCAGGTGATTGAAGAGGCAGTTTGAAGAATTTCCGGCGACATCGGCCGGCTGCCCGCAAGGCCATACTATCAACGGCCATTCCCGAATCGGATCACCATGAACCATCCTCTCCCTCGGAATGCTTGGACCCCAGAGTTCATGATTTTTTCGGGGGAGGACTCGCGCTCAACGATTGAGCATGTCAATTGGTTCGCGGCGCAATTTAGAGGGGACTTTAGGGAAAATGAGTGGTACCAGCTCCAACTATTTCATTTATCCCTCACCAGACCGCCCTTCGCAATGTGTATACATCTCTCCCTCCTAATTCATTTCATACATGGGAAGACCTAGAAAACACATTCACAAGCGGTTTTACAGCCCGTTGCCGGAGGTGATGATATCAAACCTAATTCACCTACGGAAAAAGCATGAGGAGCCGGTAGAAAGTTTTTTGGAAAGGTTTCGCAGAGTAGAAGGTCGATGTCAGGTGCATATACCCGAAAACCAAGTCGTCGACATGGCGGTCGACAATATGACGTGTCAAGTTCATGAAGAATTTTCTCTTCAAGAGTACAACAATTTCCGACAATTTTTCGCAAAGGCGGCCAAGGCGGAACAGCTCTTCCAGGAAGTCAGGGGAAAAGATCATCCACCCCATGCGAAGGAAACAATTTTGATGTCGAGGAAGGATATGATTGAACCCTTGTGACCATCCATCCGTCTCATGCGCCGATCAATGCCATCGAAGTACGCCCAATGAAACATCGTGCATCAGTAGCAAAGGCCACACCAAGGAGGAACTAACCAGCCTCGGATGACAGACCAAACTTTGAGCAGGCCACACCAATGAGGAACCGATTAGCCTCGGGTGATAGGCCAAATTTTGAGCAGGCCACACCAAGGAGAAAGCGGCCAGCCTCGGGTGATAGGCCGAATTTTGAGCAGGCTGCACCAAGGAGGAACCGACCAGCCTCGGGTGATAGGCCGAATTTTGAGCAGGCCGCACCAATGAGGAACCGACCAGCCTTAGTGACGGGCCAATTTTGAGCAGGCCGCACCAAAGAGGAACTGACCAGCCTCGGGTGACATGCCAAATTTTGAGCAGGCCGCACCAAGGAGGAACCGACCAGCCTCGGGTGGCAGGTTAAATCGGGAACAGACCGTGCCAGAGAGAAGCGTATTTGAATGGTCGGGGAGGTCCGTAGAAAAGGCTATCAAGGAAGGCCGCCTACGGTTGGCCGGAAAATCGGAAATAAAGATCGATACAGAGCCATTGACTAGGACGCAACGTCGGAGATGGCAACAACAAATCTTGGCAGCATGGCTCGCTGAACAGGATCAGCAGCATGAGCAGCCCTTCGGAGGGCAGGAGGAAATTGCAATAACTGAGGAAACATCTTAGAGGGAGAAAATACCTCCCCGGAGGAGGAGACTACGAGAATGGAGGCCGAAATAAATTGACCCCAAGGACTGCGCTCCATCAGAACAACAGCTTCATCTGGAGGAGCCAGTGACGTCTGTCTTGGAGGACGAACCAAATTTCGAGGCTTTGGAGGATGACAAAACGTCGATTACAAGTTTGGACATCATCGCAAACGACCAAGATCTGGAACAAGCTCTGCGACGATGATGTTGAGGGATGTGGATACATGGACAGAATGTAACCATACAATGAAAGGGTTTGAAATTCGTACAGAGGCCGACTCACGGCCTGTTCACCAAGCCGTTCGTAATGAATGACGACCAGAACGTATTGAGGGACCTGAAGGGACGGATTTGCGAGACATATGATGCTACATGGAGTACCAGATCTGTCCCTATTTGAATCCTTGAAAGGCAGACAGATCATCTAGATCCGTCGCTTCCCCTGGAGGATCAGAATGAAGATGAATTTTCCTCACCTATCCAGAGGGCTACCCTGTCCTTCGAAGTGCAGGATCCTCTTGAGGAAATCAATCTCGGTGACGTTACAGCGCACCAAATGACCATGATCAATTCTCTGCTACCCCTGGACCAGAAACGGCGAATTACGGATTTGATACAAGAATATCGAGACTGTTTTGCGTGGGACTACCACGAAATGCCGGGTCTGTCCAGAAACTTGGTTGAACATCGGCTGCCTACCAAGCCGTCGTTTAAACCTCACAAACAACCCCCACAACGATTCAACCCGGAGTTGATGCCTAAGGTCAAAGAAGACGTGGAAATGTTGCTTAAGGTGAATTTTATTCGTACCTGCTGCTACCGAATGAGGCCATATGAAGCTCGGACCAAGGTACAATCCAAATGTCATACAAAAATACTGGACTTCAGAGTTCAATTTAATTCATTTTCTTCTTTGAGTGCACGGTTCTTCTTCCTAATTTTAGCAAATTAATCACATTATATTTCTTGCGAGACTTAGCTCGGATACTTTCTTGAGTAAGCCGGGAAATGCGATTATTGTCGATTTCGAAAAACATAGATTTATTAGGCCGTCATCAACGAATTTAAACAACACTACTAGTACTTCATAATAATAATTAAAAAAAAAAAAACTGAATCTAAAGTTAGAAAATATACATACTATGTTTTAGTCTTAAGGGTGTGTTTGTTTGGGGGTTTGGATTTTTTAGTTGGGATTTCAATAGTATTGGAATAGTTATATAATGTGATATAAATAGGTATTGATGTAATATTTTAAATATAAAATTAAAAAAATAAAAAATAAATATTTAATTTGATAAAAAAAAATAGGAGCCCGTGGGAATAGTGCAGAAAACATGGATTCATAGACACAAATACATGTACAGTGCATCCTCTATGTTTGTTTTGGACGCGGATTTCCTATTCATTCATTCATTGAATCAAATCAGCATACATAATAAAGGTAAAGGTAGAGTCGACAGCGAATCCGTCTCCTTTTGTTTTCCATAATATATATAGATATCAAAACGATACGGGGCATCCTTGGACAACAATTCCTTTGGCCGTGGGGCAAGAGGCGAGCGGGCATCCATCCGTGACGCTTCCCCACCAGTCGAGGCTGATGTGCTCCATGCCCAATCCCAAATAGAGCAACACCCCCATGAAGGCCAATCCGGCGTCCAGGGCCCCCGACAGCACGTAGTTGTGCCGTCTCCACCATTCCCGGTGATATCTGTATGCCACATAGCCCGAAAAGAACCCGATGATGATCCAGCTGTTGTAGTTCACGGCAGTGGCCGGGGGCATGTTTATTATAGACACAAGCAGCACGGGCACTGTGACCAGCCGAATCCATTGCTGGTTCGGAAATGCCTTGTGGGCCAGCCAGACGATGCAGGGGGCCACCGCCCCCACCAGGAATGACCAGTTGATAGCTGAGTAGTGACCGAGGTCTCCGAATATTCTTTCTGGCCCGATCAAACCCCAAACAACGGAAGCATCGTAGAATACATGGTCGCCCGGGCATGTCCACGGGCTGCCTGGAGGAAGTACTGCCCGATCACAGATGTTGGGTATGGTTTCCATCAGCCACCAAGCTGTTCCGAGATGTACCAGCGATGATATCAGGGTGCCGACTATCTGAAGAAATTGTTCGAGATTAATTGAAGATATCAATCATTCAACACAGTTTCAGCATAATATAGAGCTCCCCCGTATTCAAATTTTCATCATAGGACGAACCTGGGCCATGAACATCGTTCGAGGGGGTATTTTCATGTAATGTCCTAGTTTGAGGTCTTGGAGGAACGTCAGCGCTTGTTTCATGCTGATGTAGCCGTAGACCTTAAAGCACATGTTAGCAACGGGATATCCGGGATACAGGTACCCGATAATGTACTCTGTGATCACATTCAGTCCCGGTACCTAACTAACACAAATTTGCTTATTATGCTCGGCAGGGAGCCAAATGGAAGAGTGACAGGATCGAAAGGGAAGAAACATACTTGGTTGGTCGTGGCGGTGATAACTCCAACGGGAAGGGTGAAAATGAAGGCAATAGCACATGCCAATAACACACCCCACCACGGCAACTGGAGCTGATCGACGTAACAGTGACAAACAAGCAGAGTGCACGCAATGTTTAGGCCGAGAATGGTCAAAAACCACCACTCCGGGACTTGCTTGTACTTCTGCATAAGCTTGCCGTGCACATCCATCTTCTTCTCCTTGAACGCCGACTTGCTCAGCAGCCACAGATCTCTATGTTATGGAAAAAACAAATCAAATTAAAAGCCATGAAACTATAATGTCAATGTCACCAGATCCAAGCATAAATTGCTGAATTAAACTTACTTTCCATGAAAAAGGAGGACATGAACAATGGTGGCGGTGAGACAGGCAAAACTGAAAGCATAGGTCATGGCGAAAAACGTGCTGAGATAGAGTTGTCCTTCCTGCTCATATGCCGGTAAGTCAATGTGGAAGTTGGAATCTATAATGGCTGAAATGTTGTACTTTTGCCCCTCGGATGTGAATAGGTCATCAGAGAATATCGGAAAGGTCTTAGCTTTATAGACGTTGAGCCAGTACATAACCGGCGTGACAACATACATGCAAAGAAGGTATCCAGCAGCAATGTTAACAGTAGCAAACCACGGGCTAGCTAATGGGCTGCCAAGGTACGAGGATATGCTGGACCAATCTAACCCAACCGCACCAATTCCCATGCCGTGTAGTCCGGAGCCGAGCTGTTGGGCGAGAATGGAAGAAGGAAATATCCAGCAGAGCCAGGAGACAGAAGTAAGCTTGGGGAAAAGATAGCCGGGAAAGACGTAGTACGCAAAGCTGCAGATGAAAGCAATTAGAAAGAACTGATTTCTTGTCAATCCGCCGCGAGGCCTCACTTCTTTTTCGTGAAGAACCCTGCAATTTAAACATTGAGGATTAGAAACCTGGCATGGCGAGATGAGAATGAGATGGATGCACTGAATTGAATTATTCAATAGGGTATGAAAGGATGGCCATTACAGTGCTTAATTCTAAATTTCACTGAAGGGCTAACAAATAGAGACAAACAACACAATATCAATATAGAGATAGATGGCACATGAATTATGTTGACAACCACAGAGGCAGAGTAAGCTTTACATGAAATTTAAAGCTTTCCTTCCACTGGAGGGAGGCTCAAATCTGAGAGGGAATTTCAATCGACATTACAGAACCAATTTGTTAAGTTAAAAAATGCACCTGAAAAGAGAGACCTGGACAAGGTTTTGTGGCCACCACATGGCGGCGGGCTCCACCAAGTACCGCCGGAAAAGCCCGGCCCATCCAAAGCCCAAAACCTGCGTCGTCAGAACCACGCACAGCGCCACCCAGAAACTCAACCGCTGCCCGTAGAATATTTTGACGGCGCTCACGATATGGATCGAGTACGGATTCGCCGCGCCAGCATTGGCGAAGATCGTCATCAGCACGTGCTCCTTCACGTTGAATTTCCCCGGGTTGAGGCTGAATTCCCACCTCCGCCCCTCGAAGAACACCCGTCGCGTCAGCGCCGCCGCCATCAGATGGCCGATCGGCACCACCGCTATCTGGGCGGAGATCGCCGTGATAGACAGCGGCTCCCGGCGGTACCAGAAGAACTGGTTGAGGAACGAGAGCAGAGCGCAGGCCGCCGCCCCGAGTACCCACATCCGAAACGTCACCACCGGAATTGTGGGGTCGTCCGCCGCCGGAACCGTCAGCGCCACTTGCTCCACCGGCGAATTTTCGCTCACCCCCGACCCGGAGGCGCCGCCGGCCTCCGGGATCCTCCGAACTGCACATATTTAGTCAACCCCGTCGCTTCAGTTGTCAGGAAAGCATTGGGCTCAATTAAATGCAATTAACTTACTCAGAGGAGCTGAAATCTCTTCATCATCTTCTTCTTCTTCGATCATTCTTCTTTCTGCGGAATCAAACTATCCAAACTGAAAATTGGATGATCGCCGCAATCGGGTTGGGGTTTGGGTTTGGGAGTTTGAACCGAAAAGGGCAGGGTGGAGGAGATAATACGAGGGACCCACTGCGGTCAGCGGAATGGGAATCTGAAATTCTGAATAATTAAAAAATATAAGTACATTAGTTTACCCCCTTGCAGGTTTCCCCTTTCTTCCGCAGTGGCGAGAGTGGTAGGTGGATTTGGATGGGTTTCCAGCCAGATGCAGATGCAGATGCACCTATCTTTTGTCTCTGTCAGAACGATTTGCGTAAGTGAGTTTCATTCAAAGTAGAGTTCCTCGGTTGTTGATATAGTAAAATGGATTTATTATCGCTCTAATTTGTCCATTGGTGTTGGAGATGGCCTGACGTTGATTGGGTTTCAGACCTTTCCAGAAAAGAATTCAGATTGGTGTCACAAGACTGATCCAAATGGATGAATGTGAAACGGATCGGATATCATAAAATTGAATGAAACAATGTCCAGGATGGGAAATAGTGTATAGACAACTAAAAATATGCTACCATTAACCTGAAAAAAATAAAATGCATAAATATAGGAAAAAGAAACAAGATAAGATAAAGTGATAAAAATTAGAAAAATGGATCTCTGGTGGATGAAATTGAACGTAGAAATTGGAATTAAAGCAATAAAATTTAATAAGATGAAATTTAATAACAGAACAAAATAAATTCTGAAAATAAAAAAAAAAAAAAAAAAAAAAGGTAAAGAGTAAAGAAAACTTAGCTAATATGAATTTGATCTCTCTTAATATATATCTTATGATTCAAAGTAATTTTTAATTGATTCACTCGTTGATATTTTTTTACCTATAACTCCACATTTTCAGATAAAGATTTGACCGAATCTTCAAGTAAGCTCAAATCTTGGACTTATTGTTGGTTTTTTTTAAGTTGGACCTCGCGGGCTGGATCGGCCAATTGCTGAGTCGGATGTGTGCTATAAATCTTGTGAAAATTACAAGAATAAAACCATTTGCTGAATATGTATTAATTAAATCTCAACTGTACATCGGATTTTGTATGAAATTGATAGTATAGATTAAGCAGGGATAAAATTATCTTTTTTATTTAATTTATTTTATTCGATTCAATTGTTTTCTAGGATAATTCTTTGCCTTCGTCTTCAACACTATAAAAACCTCTCGCGCACAAAGTTTGAACAATAATTGAACAATGGAGAAGTGTTCATGAGTTATAGATTATTTCACTCAGTTTCCATGGTTTTGAGGAAGAATGCACATTTAAACGGGTTTCTATCTAGTCCTTCTAGTGAGAATTTGTGTTTGTTTATTGGCTCAAGTGTTTCAAGGGCTTGCTTTATGTGAAATCAATGGATGTTCATGTTGTTTCTATCATGTATTTATTAAGCTTTTGGGATGCAAATCGTGAATGATTTAAGTTACTCGATTGTTTGGAATAGTATATTACTGATCGTGCTGTTGTTGTGGTACATGGTTTGTCGTACGGTGAAAATAATTAAGCAACTTATCTTCTTTGACTGGGCTGATTCGCGGTATGGTTTTGCTGGTAAATTCTCTTTGGATTTGAAACTCATATAGAAGGATAACAAATACAATGTCGAGCCTTCTCTAAAAAACTTACTTGACAGTAGGAGGTTAGAGAATAATATTGATTTTTGGAGGGTATGTGTTATGTATTCAATATATGTACTCTTCTGGAGCCATTATCTAATGGAAAGATCAATCACCGGTTGTTTTAGTTTCTTGACTTTAAAGAGGTAGTGAGTGAATTCAATTGGGCTGGATTGGTTAGAGATAAAATGGTTGTAGAGTTTGGGCACTATTTGTTCAAAGATAAGGAAAGAAAAGTGATGGTGATTGCAAGACTATCCAGAGATATGCATTGTTTAATGATATTTTAAACTTTTATAATGTCCTTGTTTACTTTTGATTTTTGTTGGTTTGCCTTTTCTGAGATATTGTATTATTATTTTCATCATATATTCTTTAACAAAGTTTGATAGAAAAAAAGTTGGTATTTTTTCTTTTTTTTTTTTTCTTGTTATATTGCAAGAAAATTGTCCACAGAAGATGTGTTGAAAGCTTTCCATTCACAATATGCTAGGTCCATAGAACTTATTTTTCTATTTTATTTTAAACACATGATTTTTAATATTTTGGGTGTATATGATGTTTGCTTACAATTCTTATATGATATGTTAACTAATGTTATTCCCTTTGTTAAGCTAATATTTTTTAAATACTGCATTTGTGTTTTACTTGATTCATATAAAAATGGAATTGGGAAATCAAAGGAATAGTATGAGGTAGAGATTTTAGGAATGTCTGAAGTTGTGTCCAATTTAGAGCAAAATTATAAATTAAAATATAAGTCCGTCGAGCTACTGGAACGTGTTGATGAGAATGACATGGATGATGTTTTCAAAGGAGTAGAAAAAGAAGGATTTGAAAAAGGGAATGCTAAGAAGGTAATTTTGATCTTAAGAAATTAATGTTGCCATCTTGGATATTTATTATTATCCTTTCAATTTGAATTATATGATAACATGACCTTGATCATTGTCATAGGAGTTTATTGTAAACGAACTACCAGTGTGAGATGAAGATGACACGGTTGAGGAAACAAAGTGTGAACCAGCTATAAAAAAACAAAAATGTGTGGAAGAAGATGAAGTCAACCCAATGAAACTTTTTTCTCTTGAGTTAACATAAGAATTTGAAGATGCTCTTGGATGTTCTGAAGGAAGTTTTCCGAGCAAAGTTGCCATTCGAATCTTGATAGTAAATTTAACTGTATTTGTTTTGTAGCTTTATTTATAAATGCATATATAATTTAAGATATATTGATGAACTATTTTAGAGGAGATTGTTGAAGCATTGGATGAGCTCAATGAACAAGAAAAGAATATTGGTTCACCGTCCCCCAACCCAATTGTATCTGAGTCCACTCATCTTCCCTTCCCCCCTCCCCCCAAGCTTGAAATTAAAAACATAAATTGTGACCGGATGCCCTCTAGAGTGAGGAGACGGTTAAATGGACATTTTATTTAGAATGTACTTCTTCAAGCGATTTGGAAGATATTACATTTTCGGATGGTGCTAATGTCATATTCAAGTTTGATTTCCAGACTTCGCGCCATGGGTCTGATGTCTCAAATAATATTGTTGATGTTCTCAGTACTTACTTGAATCAAACTGATTTAAAAGGAAGTAAGAAGAAAGATGTACCAATGTCTAGATTATGTATCTTGTCTAACATTGTTGTGAGTATATAGGCACGTATGTTTAACACTTTAATTGAAAATACTTATTGCTCACTTTTTATATGCTAACACATAAAATCCATGATGCTTATGGTAGAAATTAAGTAATACTCCCTCCGTCCACCAAATTTACTTTCATTTTTCTTTTTAGTCTGTCCGCCAAATTTACCCCATTATTAATTTTGACAAAGTCAACAAATCAATATTTAACTATTATCCTTCATTCAATACTTATTTACAATAAATGTCATTATATTTATTATATTCTCTCTCCTTATTTTTTTTTATTTTAACTAAATTTCCAAAAATATATCCAACTATGTTTTTACTTTTTTTTTTATCACTTTTTCAATAAAATATTTATTATTTTTAATCTCCTTGCTAGACAAAAATGGTCTAATTTTATCGGACGGAGGGAGTAATATATTTTTTGTTGCATGTAGTATATTGTTCAAGTTGAGAGAGAAAATAATTTTGCTAAAAAATTGAGAATTTTTTTTTATTTTTTTTATTTTTATATAATTGAGAGTGTTAATTCAAGACATAATATCTGAGATATGATTAGATTGAGTCCATGAAGATTGACAATGTAAGTGTACTTGATAAAACATATATTGTCATATATTTTATAGTTAAATAATATATTATGATCAATATATTAGATAAGATTTCTACTAATTTTGGTATAATCGTGATTATTGGCAGGACGTAGTGATGTGCGCCCTTGCCAAGTTTGTGGGTCAATGATTGAGTGAATTTTGGGTTTAAATACAGAAATGGATAATCAAGGAACAATCGATGAGCGATTAAAGAGCCAATTGAATACTTGATCGTCTATTAAAGGAGGGTCAAGGCATGGGATAAGAGATCACAATTTACACTCACTTTTCATAGTTTAAGCAGAGGATTGAGAATGACGTTTTGAGAGGAAGCGCTGCCGGAAGATCATCATTATCATTATTTATTGCTTTATTCATTTAGCATGAGTGCTAATTTTCTTTATTCTAGTCCAATGTTGAATGTAGATTTCGGATTGGAATTTGTGATATTGTATTTTGATTTAATTTGAATCTTCTTTAGTAAATTGATATTTGCACAATTTCTGTGATTAATGCCTGCAGTTGTTTTTATTTAATTTCTTATCGTGTCCGAAGTTTAGATTAGTTTAGCAATTGCGTACCAATTGAACATTTGCATCCGTAATTGTGCATTTGTTCGATATTGTGGTATATAGGTTGACAAGCTTAGCCTAGGAATTAGATGATCAAATAATTTAATCTTTTTGTACTTGATTGAATATTTGAATTGGGTTTTTCTCATGCTATTTTCAATTCGGAAAATCAATTTGTGGTCGTACCTAAATTATTTCTTTGATTAAGGATGTGGTTAATCGGTCGTACCATTACCGCCAATAAAGTAAGGAAAAATTGGGCGTTATGATTATATCTAATGCATATAACCAATTTATCAATTGAATAACAAGATTATTTAAAATCGATAATCGAATCTTTAATCCGATTTCTTATTCACTCCTTGGGCTAGAAGTTAATCTCTTTAAAATCTAAATTTTATTTCCCATCTCTTATTTTGATTATTTTAGTGAATTGCTAATCCACCCCCCACCCCCCAAATATTTGAATGTGTGATAAAAACATGAATTAAACTTCAAAAGTCCATGGGGATCGACCTCAGCATCACTTGCTACACGTGGTGTTAGAGAATTTTTATTGGAAGCATTGAGGCTACCAATTTTTGGCTCCATTTCCAGGGATTGGCATTTGATTTATTTTGTATTTTTGTCATTCAATTTTATAATTATATATTATATATTTCAATAGTTTATGGCCCACTCTTCTTGTACAAGAAATTTAATATACGAAGCGGAAATCGAGAGATTAGCGAGGACATTACGGAATGAAGCAAAAAGAAAGTTGGAATTTGAGAAGGCTTCGAGTTCAAAACCAAGCGAATCGATCAAGCAAGAGCCTGATATGGCGGAAGAAGATACCCGTACGCTAACGGAGTTGGCTGTGCCTAATTCGAATTTACAACCTCTATGCATTACTTTTCCGGAAATTGAAGTTAACGCTAGTTTGGAATTACGATCCGGACTAATACATTTTTTTCCCTTGTTTCACGGTCTTTCTGGAGATGAACCACATAAACATCTGCAGGAATTCGATGTGGTTTTCTCGAGCATGAAACCACCAATGGTTACGAAGAACAAGTAAAGCTACGAGCATTCCCTTTCTCATTGAAGGATGCCGCGAAGGAGTGGCTCTTTTGTCTACCGGCGGAAAGCATCACTACTTGGAGGAACATAAAAAAGAAATTTTTGGAGAAGTATTTTCCGGCATCGCGGGCGGTGACATTGCGCAAGAAAATTTGTAGAATTAAGCAACAACAAGGAGAGGCGTTGCATGAATACCTGGAGAGGTTCAAAAGGCTTTGTGCGTGGTGCCCATAACACCAAATTACAATCCAATTGTTGCTCTAGTACTTCTACAAAGGACTGGGCATGCGAAACCGAAACAACAATGATGCCGCTAGCCAAGGAGCATTGGCAGATAAAACACCGAAAGCTGCGTAGGCCTTGATCGCGAGGATGACACAGAACTCGCAGCAGTTTGGAACTAGAGGAGTCAAATATTTAGAAGGTAACAATTCTCTTCGGCAACAAATTTCCAAACTTAAAAAAGTTGTTCATCAATTTGGCTGCAGGAAACACACACATGTGAGAGCATGTGACATTTGTATGAGCTTGGAGCATGCCACCGATGCATGCCCTGCCTTACATGAGGGAAGTCATGTTGATGTGAATGTAGCCAGTTTTAATCCACCGAGACAACCACAATATGACCCTTATTCAAACACCTACAACCCAGGGTGGAAGGATCATCCGAATCTCAGGTATGAGAATCCGCAACATCAAGGGTTCTGACCGCATGCACCTCCATAACAGTTCTTCCAGCCACCACCTCCACCAAACCATTCTATCATGGCACTAGTGAAAATGATGAAGACCATGGCTGCCAACACCATTCAATTTCAACAAGACACAAGGACGAGCATTCAAAGTCTTGAATCCCGCATGGAGCAAATGGCGGCAAATCTTCGCCATGTCAAGGAAATGGAGACAGGGAAATGGCCGTCACAATCAGAAAGAAACCCAAAGAATTTTAGTGCCATGACTTTACAAATCGGAAAGATGGTGGGGGCTCCGAAACCAATCATCCCAAAGGACAAAGACGAGAGCACCATCAAAAAAGAAATCTAGAAGGAAGATGCAAAGAAAAATGAGTAAATTGATGATATTATCACTAAATCAATACTAACCTTACCCATTTTTCTTGTAGGTTGGAAAAGTCAAAGAAGCCAAAAAGGGAGAATGAGATTTTTCTTAAAGAATTTGTGCACCAACAAGCGGAAGTTGAAGGGCGACGAATGCATCGTTGCAAGTGAGAATGTCTCGGCACTACTCCAAAGAAAGATTCCACTGAAGTGTGAAAACCTAGGTATGTTCACTATCCCATGTAAAATAGAGCAATTAGAAGTCAAGTGTGCTATGTTAGATTTAGGTGTGGAAATTAATGTCATGCCAAAATCAATTTATAATTGTTTGAATCTTGCACCACTAAAGAATACTGGGATAATTATTCAACTTGCTAATAGGACACATGCATATCCTGGAGAAATTATAGACAACGTCCTCGTCCAAGTTAATGATTTGATTTTTCCGATCGACTTCTATGTTTTGGAAATGCATGATGAACATTCAACCAATCCATCACCATTACTCTTAGGGAGACCTTTCATGTGTACGGTGGATACTAAGATTGATGTAAAGCATGATAGTTTGACGATGGAATTTGATGAAGAAAGAATTGAATTTAAAATTTTTGATGCGATTGAACATCCCCCAGATTCTTACTTTGTTTTCTCGTTAGATGTCATTGACTTTGAAGTGCATGATGCTTTGGAGGTAAGAGGCAAGGAGGCACTGGAAGTGATTTTTCACAAGTATGCCCATGCTCATTTATTCCTTCCCGAGACTAATACACGTTTATTGCCATTGATTATGCTGCCACCGGAGTTGGAATTAAAGACGCAACTGAATTACTTGAAATATTCTCATTTAGGAGACTGTGAGATACTACCAGTGATCATTTCATCTACAATGATAAAAGTTAGAAGGAACGAGTTGAAGAACGATACAAAGTATTACATGTGAGATGACTTGTTAGTTGGAGAAGAAGTTTGTGTGGGTGACTCTTGAGGGACCTTCGTCTTAATTAGGAGGCAGCCCAAATTTTTTTGGTGCTTTCTTTTTCTTTGCTTTTTGTGTGTTTAGTGTGTTAATTTGTTTGTCTCCGCTCTTTGTACATAATGGTGATCTCATCATGTCTGAAACTACATTTTGAGTACTTAAGAACGATACTTCAGCAGGTGGCGCGACTTTAGGCATGCCCATGCCGTACTTTCAGCATGCCCATGCCAGATGACTTTATCAGAGTTTTTAAAGATCTTGCGCACCACCCCCACCTGGTTCAGGGAAGTCCTATGGTCCTTTGCTCTTTTTTCTTTTTCGAGATGTGTTTACATTGAGGACAATATGCATAATGAGTGTGAGGGGGGGGGAGAGGGGGAATATCCATTGGTTGCCTGATTGCATGACTGACTTATGTGCTAAAGACTTGTGTGTATTTCTTTTCAACACGATACATTTTTATTAGATGACTTGCCGGTGAAGTAAACAATAAATATGCTGAGCATGACATGTTTTAGCCTATGTGAAATTTGAGCCTAATTGAGGATTCATTTTAAATGCTATTTATTTCTTTGTTTGTGTGATTGTTGCTATAAACTTGGTTTTCTAGAACTTGCATAGTGATGCATGTTGAATTAGATTTCTTAGGAGTCTATTCGATTAAGATGATAAGGGCATTAACATGAGCCACTTGGTCTAATATGTTTCCTACCTAAAATATTAATCATTTAGTAAGCCCCTTTTAGCTTGAATATCCTATTTTTATTGTTAAATGAGCCGCATATTAACCTATGACATTCTTTTCTAAAGCCAAAATTTATTTGAACCTATAGTCAAAGGAAAATATTTCGAGCTTATATTTTTTAAAGTGTCCAAGGGAATGGGAAAAAAATTGGCACAAGTTTTTATTGCATTATAACGGGAATGTGCATTTTGGTGTTAACTTATCGGTTAAGTTGGGTATACTACGGACTATCTTCGCCCGCATTCTTCTTACATAGTTTACAAGAATAAACTCTTGAGTATGCATGTTAATGAAGGATAATTGAGGGATGAGCTTGCGATACATGGAGCCTATATATTACAAAATGAGCTTGGAATATCTTCTTTTTGACTTATTTAGCCGAATAATATCCTCTATCCTACCCCAACCTAAAGGCCCATTAAAAAATTATTTAAAGATCCTTTGATTTTTTGCATTAGATTTCGAAGAATTAAGATATGTGATCAATATACAAGCCTATGGGATAATCATTTTTATGATGCGATACAAGTGACTTGTTAATCCCTATATATATATATTTGAGTGTTGAGTGTGTATACTTTATTGCTAGTAAGGTTATTTTGTGTTCGATATGTTTTGAGTTTCATCGAGGTAATGATAATGTGAATTAGTTTGTGGAGATTATGATTGCATCAAGTTCTTGTGTATGCTTATTTGGTTTATGTTTGAGGGCAAGCATGGTTTGGGTGTGGGGGAATTGATAAAGCATATATTGTCATATACTTTATAGTTAACTTATAATTAATATTGAATAAGATTTCTACTAATTTTGGTATGATTGTGATTATTGGCCGGATGAAGTGATGTGCGCCCTTGCCAAATTTTTGGGTCAATGATTGAGTGAATTTTGGGCTTAAATACGGAAAGGGGTAATCAATGAGTGATTAAAGAGCCAATTGAATGTCTGATCGTCTATTAAAGGGGGGGGTCAAGGCATGGGATGAGAGATCACAATTTACACTCACTTTTCATAATCTAAGCGGAGGATTGAGAATGACGTTTTGAGAGGAAGCGCTGCAGGAAGATCATCATTATCATTATTTATTGCTTTATTCATTTAGCATGAGTGCTAATTTTCTCTATTGTAGTCCAAGGTTGAATGTAGATCTTGGATTGGGATTTGTGAGATTGTGTTTCAATTTAATTTGAATCTTGTTTAGTAAATTGATATTTGTACAATTTTTGTGATTAATGCCTGCAATTATTTTATTTAATATTTTATCATGACCGAATTTTAGATTAGTTTAGCAATTGTGTACCAATTGAACATTTGCATCCATAATTGTGCATTTGTTTGATAAAAGTGGTAAATAGGTTGACAAGCTTAGCCTAGGAATTCCATAATCAAATAATTTAATTTTTTTTGTAATTGATTTAATATTTGAATTGGGTTTTTTCTCATGCTATTTTCAATTGGCTAAATCAATTTATGATTGTATCTAAATTATTTCTTTGATTAGCGATGCGGTTAGTCGGCCGTACTATTTCTGCCAATAAAGTAAGGAAAAATTGGGTGTTATGATCGTTTCTAATGCCTATAACCAATTTATCAATTGAATAACAAGATTATTTAAAATCGACGATCAAATCTTTAATATGGTTTTTTATTCACTTATTGGGCTAGAAGTTAATCTCTTTGAAATCTAAATTTTATTTCCCATCGCTTATTTTAATTATTTTAGTGAATTGATAATCCATCCCCCCAAATACTTGAATGTGTGACAAAATCAAGAATTAAACTTCACAGTCCATGTGGATCGACCTCAGCGTCACTTGCTACACGTGGTGTTAGAGAATTTTTATTGGAATAACTGAGGCTACTGGTACTTTTAGTGTATATAGAAATGATGAATTTAGATATTTGAGATGGTAATTTAGTACATTTTGAAATGCTGATATAGTTATATTGTATATTGTAGTATTTTTTTCCCCCATTTCGTTGCTCGAAGCACTAGGTCCTATTTTCCGGCTCCGTTATCTGCAAGAGATACATACTTTAGTAGCCTAAATGATATGAACGTATAAGCAAAAGATTCATTGTTCTTTGAGAGGATTTTTGAACCGCTACAAAAATCATTTTCCCTAACCCATGTTGGGATGTTGAAGATACAGTTGAGGTGCCTCCATATGTGAAATAGACGAATATCTATAGTTGTGGAATCTTATCAATGTTTTACATGATGTATTGGCCTCTTGAATTGAGTAGAAGTGTATGTGAACAACTTGGAAAATATGAGATGTTGGATATAATAAACAATAAATTTTTTGTCTTCTAGAAATAGTATCACATGGTTGACTATGTGATAAAGAAGCAAAAGGTTGCTGTTTGTGGAAAAAGTTCATTTGAAGAAGGTGAGAAATGCTGATGGTAAACTAAGGAAACAACATATTAAGCTAAGTGAATGGAAACGGATTGGAAAATAAATAGGATATTGACTATGATGTATGTGATTGATTGAATGAATTGTTACATAAGATGATTGAATGTGAATGGATTGTTGAATGTGATAGATTAAATGTAAAGTTTACATACTTTTATTCTTTGGTTTGATAAGTCTATGGAAAAAAATGCTTAGAATGCCCTTTTGTAGAAATTTATTGTGAATGACATTGGAATAAAGAATGACGAATTAAATTGTGAAATTATATTTGAATACTTTTTTTAAGTGTTGATTATAAAAGGTGAATATAATATCCCCTCGATACAACAATATGTTAATTATAACACAATAATATACTTAATGAATTCTAGCATGACAACCATTTGGTATTGAAGATAACAATAGGTAATGTTGATTGTAAAAAATAAAAAATATTATCCACAATATACAATATGCTTGTAAGTAATCAATTAAAATTTTTATTCAATATACGCACATGTTAACCACACATGAACAATCATAAGCAGTGACGGAACGAGCTTCCAAAATTAGGGGGCGGAGTTGTCTAGTCGGTTTCGATTTTTTATGGTTCAATTTTGATTTCAACATATTTCAAATCATGAATCGTCAATTTTTTGTTCAAAAAGGCTGTTCAATTTCTTAAATAAAAATTTTAAAAATTTGTAAAAGTATTAAGGTCTGGTTCTTTTTTGTAGTATTGCATTTCTATTTTTTTCAATTTGCCTAGATGCAATGGATGAAAAAAAAAAAAACAAAAAAGAACTAGAAGATAGTGCAAGAAGACACTTGTAATAACTATAAAAAATTATATTTTCTTTATATAAAATATAATTAAAATTATTATATATTAATATAAAATTAAAATAAAAAATAATAACAAAATATATATACACTTAAATTTAGAGGGGACAAAATAATAAAATTAAATTTTAGGGGAGGCAAAATGATGTATTTATATAAATTTTAGGGTAAACTATTTCTTGGTCCCATAACTGAACCAGCTTATCATGTAGATTTTTTTATTTTTTGAATTATTTTTTAATTTATCCATTAAATGTATAGTTTATTATAGTCCTTAAACCCTTAATTCATGTATTTAATACATAAATAATAAAAAAAATCCACGTGTTCGTTAGGTGTCGTTGACCTGGCGGACACGTGTCCTGCGGTAAGCCACGCGGGTGCCAGACAGACATCTTCAACGCTGGAGGACGAGAAGTACAAAATTTTCACTTACGGGACTTGTTTGTAACCGACTCTAATTACAGGACTAAAATTATAAAAAAGTCTAGTTACTGGATAAAAAATCAATTTACCCTAATTTTTTTTTATATTAAACTAAAATAATATTTATTTTTTGGGGGGCTGGGGTGCAAAAGCCCCTATTTACATCCGTCCATGATTATATGTATTCACAACATTTTCAACTAAGTACACTCTAACCACACATGAACAATCATATGTATTCACCATATTTTCAACTAAATTATAGATGAACTGACAATAATCAATTTTCTTTTTCTTGTATCACGTTGTTTATTTGTTTTATTCAGACTTTTAGACTTCTTTTGTGTCTAAAAGTTGTTGATGGACACTTTTTTTTAATCTTACCTTTTGGGCTTCAAAATCAAATTTTCCTGCAACAACTGTGTTGTGTACTCCCTCTGTAACATTTACTAATGTTGATTTCAAATATAATTCAATAAATTATATATAAGAGTTAACTGTTGTTTGGATATGTCGACCTTACTTTGTAGATATTTAAGCATGTAACTATG